TTTATGTAGTGATTTATGTAGTGATTTATGTAGTGATTTATGTAGTGATTTATGCCAGTAAACGGTGGCGACAAGTAGGCACACCATGTGTAGTCGCTAGCAAGTAAATTTTGCCTGATTTTAAGTTCGTCTCACGATAGAACAACACAATTACACAAGGAAATTTTTACAGTAACTTTATAACCATCCTTTTGTCTTTTAAAAGCTCGAAGGTCAGTAGATGCTGTCATATCTGTCATTGTCAAACTGTCTTTGTTTTGATGCTATTTTTCGACATAGAAAAAGTATGTCGGACAAAAATATTCACCAAAAAATAAATATTTCTTTGCCAGCTTCAATGACAGGGGATTAAGTTTAGGTGATACAACAAAGGATTATGCCGACATAAATACCGGAGGTCAAGTAAATTCGTTAAATGAGGTCACACAACTCGGGTAATATTCAGGGTGAAAATTTGCATATTTGAGCGGTCGAACGAAAAAACTCATTTCTCAAAAACTAAAATATATTTTCTCACTACGCCACAATTATACTGGGCCCGGTTGTTCAAAACTGCGATTAGCGCTAATCCACGATTAAATAGGCTAATCGCCGATTAAATTTAAGTCGCCGATTAGTTTCTGTTGTTCAAAGCCCGATTATTCCTAACCTTCGATCAAACCAAGGGTTAAATCTAACCCTGCTCGCTAGGTGGATTAAATCCTTAATCGGCAGATTAAAAAATAAAAATCACAACATGGCTGACTTGTTGTATGGTTGTGTTGGTGTTGATGGGCGAAGAAAAAGGAAGCAAAGAGAGTTTAGGAGCATCGGTTTCACGATAGATGGATATACAGACGAAGAATTAAGAGCAAGGCAGACTTTTCGGGCGCCATTTGTTTTTTTTGTTTACATGGGAGTACATGTAAAAGAAAATAAGAAAGATACAAAAGTCTAAAGTCCGTTAATTTTCACTTTGCTTTGTGTTTGTTAGCGAAGTATACATTTTATGCAAGGTATGGACATTGAGAGGTATTACAATAATGTTTCCATTTATAGACTTACCTGTTTCAAACCCCTGTAACCCAGTAAATGACGGTGTGTCACTGAACATGTTTATTATTTTTAAACTGGCTTCTCATGGGTTCGGGGGAGCAGGGCCACCACCTGTCTTCTTCTGTTCACTTTTAAAGGAACTGAATTCTCTTTTTGCGTGACTCTGGAGGTTTTTCCACTTGTCTCGTACTTCCTGCGTTGATCTTGCTGTCACACCGACGGCGTTTACCGCCTCCGAGATTTCTTCCCAAATCTTGTTTTTTTTTGCATTTGTCATACTGTTGGTAAATTTACTTTGAAGAATATCCATATTTTCTTCAAATTTTTCCGTTAAAACGGAAATTTCAGCGGGTGAAAAGTTTGCTTTCCGCACTTTCTTCGCTGGAGAAGCCATATTGACAAAAATAAATTTCCGGCAATTTTATGACGTAAACTGGCACAAAATAAATTATAATTAATTAATATAATTCATTTTATGCTTAATCGCGGATTAGTAAATCGACCGAGTAATCTCCCTTTGAACAACCGTTTTTTAACCAACGATTAACTAACCCACGATTAAGAAATTTAATCGCCGATTAGGCCTAATCGGTGATTAGTTTAATCGCAGTTTTGAACAACTGGGCCCTGGGCTACAAAATATGAAAGTAGGCGAGAAAATGAATTTTTGGCGACTTGCCACAATATTTCAAGTTTATGCGATGGATGCTGACATCCTCTTTTAAGATTTTTTCTGACGTAAGTAAGTGGGTTGGTTCATTTTTCTCCTCTAAAAATTGATATCTTCATGTTCCGCGGAGGAATTGCGCAATGGAACGAGTGTTCACGTTTTAAAGATTGTCTCTGTCCCTATTAGGATGTTTTTCCTGACAAAGCAACACAAAGGAAAATTCTTTCTTTTGCAATCAAATGTCCAAGTGAAGGCTGTGAATGGACTGGAGAACTTAGGGAAAAAGAGGTGAGGTTACTTCAACTCATATCGCAACTGAAAATAAACACTAAAAGCCTTACTTATGAGTTGTTGGTTGATCTAGATCAATGTACTGACGTCATAATTTTTTATCATATTTTAGCCTTAAGAGACCCATATCTTAACGTGATATTTATTCAACTGAACCTTTTTTAGTTTGGTTTTGACAGAATCAAACGCCATTCTAAGTGATGTATTATTGATCAAATAGTTCCTCAGTTGTTAAATATCAACCTCACAACCTAATAATGCATTTTTCTTACAGGTTCACCTGTCTTCTTGTCCTTGTAAAGTTATCCCATGTTGTAACGAAAACTGTTTCGTGAGAGTTCAGAGACGACACCTTTCCCACCACTTGGGCGTCACATGTGAGTGGAGAATTATCAAATGCGATCACTGTAGTGAATCACAACCACGGTGTCAAATGCAGGTAGATATGGTATGATTTAGTCTTTTAAAATAATGCGTAATGTTGCCTTCTCAATAGGGTTATTCACAATTACTTATCGGTTTTGGCAACAATACCTCTGTGTTAGAGAAACTCCTTTCAGGTTATCTTTATTGGTTTACAACCTGTCACTGTGGAAACTGTTCGACCTGGAACAGAGTAGCGATAGACATAACAAAGAAATCTGCGTCACCTGTTTTTATTATATTTATTACTTTCTGTTCTTGGTACATCTTATCTCCTCCAGGATCATATTCACCAGTGCAGTAAGTTCCCAGTAACTTGTCCGAACAAATGCAGCTGCTTAGTTCCCAGGGGAAAAGTAAGAAGTATTTCTATCATTTTAACACTTTCATTACTGTTAATTTTTTTTTAAGACTTTGAACTTATCTTCAGAAGAAGGAGCGCAAACCATTTACGTGACTAAAAGATAGTTTTGCCATTTGCGTTTGTCTCAGCTCCGTTGTAAGTAGAATTGGAAATCGGCAATTTTCTTTCTCGAGAACTAATGCCACTCAATAGAAGCTAAGTTTTTCGTTTGTCTCACGATGTAGTCACGTGTGATGTAGATCGCGACGTTTCAACTGCATACTGCTAGTCTTCTTCAGGCGATGAGGCCGACTGGTCATGCGTAATCATATAAAGCATGATGCTCTGCTGTGATTAATTGTTTTTTCAACAGCTCTGACCTCATCGCCTGAAGGAGACTAGCAGTATGTAGTCGAAACGTCGCGATCTACATTACACGTGACTACATCGTGAGACAAACGAAAACCTTAGCTTTATTGTTATTCACCACGATGAACAACCACAACTTTTTCTACGAAATGCCACTCAGTCAGCAGTAACCATTTAGTTTGTTTCCCATGTTAGGGTGATCTTATAATGTTAATGGAGCTTGGTGGCTCTGAGTGGATGATGAAAGAGTAAGTTGTATCTAAAATAAAATAGAAAAGGATAAAAATGCTGAGTACCGATAACACGTCATAATAGTTAAGAATATCCGTTTAAAATAATTTTTGCCGGTGATTATAGAGATGAACGCGCTCTGATTGGTCGAGGATTGCGCTAGCTATATCTCGCTATATCACCTTACGCGAGGCGTTTACAGAAGGAGCACTCGATTTCAAAATGTCTGCCTGGTGTTTTGCTAATGTTACCGAGGAAGTGGTAAACGCGATAAAAGAGAATTCAGTTCCTATGAACACAAATGATGCTACTAAGCTTCGTGTAACACTTGTTAATAGAAAGTTATGAAGCTTTTGCTAATTGAATTAAGTGAACCTGTTAAATTGAAGTGGAGACTAGCTGCTTCTCTCAATACGAGTGGTCAAAATTAAACAGTTGTAACAAAACGGCGTCAACAACAAAATTAATTTAGAACAGAATTCAAAAGCATCTGAGCAATTACACTAAAAAAACACCTATTCGCCTCAGACTCACTAAATAATGGTGATTGATCCCTGTGATTTTTTCTCGGGCTCTATTTAACAAGATTCACTTCGCCGTCGGCAAACAATTTTTAAATAATTTATTGTATTAAAAATAACCATTTGCGCGAATATTATATATTTGCAAATATCAGCCGATCGGTAGTCTCTCGCTTCGAGTCGACATCTCCGATCAGTCTGCCTCAGCACGAAATTTTGGAGAAATCAATTTCCAGAAAATTGCCTAGATAAAATTGATGTGCAATCAAGAACCCGACTTTGGTCTCTTACTGTGTCAATAGTCTGCCGCCTTTTAAGATGAATGAGTAAATAGACAAATGGCAAATGGATAGATGAATAGGAAAATAAATAAATTATTTAATAACAAGTTAGTTATTTAGATAATTTCAGACAATGAAACACTGCCAACGCTTAATGAACCTTAAAGCCTTAAAGTGGGTCACGCTCGTAACCCTTCCCCCTCCCCTCCCCCCCGAGCAAAAAATTAGAGACAAGTTTTAATTGTAATATTGAAGAATTTTCCTTCAAACTTGAGCTAGATTTGATATAAAATTTTTTATGATTAATTGTTCATTTATGTTGTGGTTATTGGTTGCCCAATTATAATTGTTTTGTTTGTGCGCTGATTATTCAGCGTTGATATCGGTTGCTTGATTTGCCGGCAATTTTTCCAGGTTTCAAATCACCTTGAGGACGATTGTCCATTGTCAAAAATTCCTTGCCCACATGTCCGTATAGGATGCAAAACGGAGGTATGGCAACCAGCTCTGATTTTATCAATAAACTTATTAGACGACTTTATTTTCAGATATTTCCCTTTTTAGTGAACGATATATATGCACAATAGCTTTTCCTGTCTGGTTCAATTCATGGTTAGGCTTTCCAATCACGAGAAGCATAGTAAGTGACGTGCATTGTCTGAGACCGAGAAGAGCTGATTAGTTATGCTTCAAGGTCTCAATGGGGTGGCATCTCTGACAGTTGATGAAGAAAACAAGAGGCCATTTTGACTTTTGAGTGAGGTTTCGGCCATTTTACAGTTGACGGTTAATTCTCTATAGTGACCGGATACCTCGGCTCCATTTTAGGAATGTTTGGAAGAAATTTAGCTGGCTAATAACGCCTGGCTTCATTGAAGGGTGAAGGTAGAAACTCTAGATTTCTAGACGGTTAACGTGTAACATCCGGACCATTTGACGGTAAACCCCAAAGAGATATTCATGTTACAACGGTTCAGAGTTCATATTTGACTGAGAAGATTAACACTGTTAAAGAACTTAACGATTTACTTTTTTTAGGTTCGACGAAAAGAAGTGGACTCTCATCTTCAGGATTTTATGAAAATCCATCTTGACTTGGCTTGTATGAAGTTAAGAGATACAGAAGATGAGTTGAAGAAAACTCAAGATAAGTTAAATGACACACAGGAAACTACAAAAACTTTGACAAAGAAACTTGAGACACTTCAGGGACGGTTTGAAACAAGCACAGTGATGATAAAAAGTGAATCTTCCACATATCCCTGGTGGTTTGTTTGGAAACTTAATGATTTTAGTAACATTCTGAGACAAGCGAAAGCTGCAGAAAGGAAGTCAATTGAGAGTGACCCATTCTATACCGAAATCTGTGGCTACAAGCTAAAATTAAGAATTCACCCCAATGGTCTTAGATCTGGTAAGAACAATTACCTATCAGTTTTCTTCGCTATAATGAAAGGTGAATACGATGCGATATTAAACTGGCCTTTTAAGAGGAAGGTGAAATTCACACTGATTGATCAACAGGATGATCCAGACAAACGAAGAAACATTACTATGGTGATAAAAAAATCGGATAACTTAAATGGCTATGAAAGGCCTAAAGTTGAAAATTCAGGTCGGGGGCTTTGCAATTTTATATCTCACAAGACACTTTATTCAAGGAGGTACCTTGTAGATGACACGCTGTTTATTCGGTTTGAAATTGGTCCGGCTCAAAAGGTGACTTTTCCTTCTTATTTAGTTAGTGATGAATCTGACTGATCGGTGACTGATAGATGCCATCATTTTCAGTATAGTGCATTACAGCACTCTAATGATTGATTCAGTATGGCTTTTCTCCACCGCATCAAAATTGACATACTTTTTGTGCCGTGAAAAAGGCAAAATTTTTAAGGTTTTTTGAATAAACAAGAACGAATTCGAAGGATGAAGTCTAAGTTACCCAGCCTGCCTGTAACGCGATCAGGATCGTTGATCATTATAATTAACCCATGGGTAGACAACTTTTTTATCAGTTGACACCTAAAGAAAGCCATGGAAATATGGAGTTATGTTAGACATTTATTTCTCTCTCTTTCTCTCTCGATCGGTCAAAAGATGTTTTGAACAGCTTGTAGGGGAAATAAACCCCCATACTTCAGTTCTTTCACATTAATTTTTATCTTGCCACTTTCAGTTCAGTTTTCTAAATGCATCAGACTGGAATCCAGGAGCTTACGTCCGTTTATTCACCAGACAGCGCTTTTATTAACGATGATTTCTTTTCTTGTGAAGAGGAGTTTTTAATACTGCTAAGAATTGTTAGTTAGCGTGATTTTAAGTTGACGTTGGCATTTATGTTGTTTTTATCAGATAAGTGTCATAACAGGTCAGTATGGAATTCGTTAAATAAAACATTCAAATTATCTTTCAATGAGTTTTGATTCGTTTCACCTTGCTGGCTCGCGCGACGCTGTATGCAAGTTCGTTCGAAGAAGTGATGTTTGGAAATTGAATATGTGGATTAGTGGTCCGGTCAGATTTCTTCTTGTGAGTGGCAGAAACAAATGTGGTAACGTGCAGGTCGTGTCTATCCCCTTATAATGTATTCTGATGCAATAATTTATATACTAGTTTCCAGTGAGTAACGGTGAGAAATTAACAACAGGTCTCTCGAGAAAACATTACTTAATACAGCTATATCGAGGATAGTGAATTGTTACATAGCGGTAGACATTGCTACTGAACAAGGCTACCTTATTTATTAGCACTGTCTACCACATGTCTTGCCTGTTGTGTGTTAATATCCTTTATCCAAGTCTTGATAGTAACCTCTCTAATTACGTATCTATCACTCAATAGGCAGTTTCACCCAGTTGAGAAAACACAACATGTAAGAAACGAAGATAGTGTGAGGCGACCCAACGAGTCAACAATGAAACAAAAATAATCCTCCTCAATATAAATACAGCCTGGACCAGGCCCTCGGTCAATGGAAACGGGATCCCGGGGTTCTAAGAGAATACATGTAAACGTGAGCTATTTTTCGACTTCGGTTAGGCGGCTACCTCATCTACCTGAGGTCCCCCACCTCCATGTAAAGAGGCCCTTAAAACAAACAACACTACAGCTTTATTTAATTTGACATCGAAGAATTCTACCCCTTAATCAGCCAAGACCTCCTGAACAGAGCACTCGACTTCCCCTCAGCCTACGACAACATCACTGACGACGAAAGAAACATAATACATGCAAAACATATGATCCTTATGCACAAACAACAACCCTAGCGGAAGAAGGGCGATACAACATTTGACGTCATAATGGGCAGCTACGACGGTGCCGAACTATGCGAGCTAGTAGGAAGTTTCCGTCTTTCCCAACTGCAAAAAATCAAGACAGAGACGACAGACTGGCCATTTCAAACAACACACCGAGAGACACAGTAAACAACAAAAAAGAAATATGCTGCATCTTCAATCACAATGGACTACGTATCACCATCGAAGCCAACAAACAGACCATCAATTTCTTAGACGTCACTTTCAACCTGAACAAAAACACCTACCAGCCTTTCACAAAGTCTTACACAACACTACAATACGTCCACCGCGAGAACAACCACCCACCAACCACCACAAAGAACATGCACCCCGGCATCAACAAAAGACTGTCATCCCTTTCATCCGACAAAGCATTCTTCGACCAAGCCGCTCCTCCATACCTAAAAGCACACGACTATTGCGGGTACCGGTACACTCTACACTACGAACTAACAAACGAAAAAACAGACAACGGAACATTCTCTGGTACAACCCCCCATTCAGCAAAAACATCAGCACCAATATCGGACACAGATTCCTTGCCCTAGTAGACTAGCACTTCCCGAAAGACCACAGACTCAGAAAAATATTTAATCTTAACACAATTAAGATCAGTTACAGTTGCGTGAATAACACTAAACAGATCATCGACAACCACAACAAACGCATTTTAAATTCATCCAAACACATCAATGACACTACAGATAACAGCACCAAAAAAGACACCAAAACTTGCAACTGCCGACAGAAGAACACATGGCCACTTAACGGGAACTGCCCCCTATCATCTCTAATCTACCAAGCCACCATCACGCGTAAGGAGGACAGCACCACTGAAACATACATCAGACTTACAGAAAACGACTTCAAGAATAGATACAGAAACCACACAGCATCATTCCGACACACAAAACACGAAAACTCTACCGAACTCAGCAAACATGTCTGGGCCCTTAAAGAAAATAACATTAACCACTTTATTTCCAGGCGCATCCTTTCATCAAGATCACCCTACAGCAGCGCAAGCAAAAGATGCAACCTCTGCCTCAAAGAAAAATGACTAATCATCCGCCGACCTGAACTATCACGAACTATCATCACTCAATTAACGTAATGAACTCGAAATGAAAGTATAGTGTCTGTTTTTTCCTATCGCAATATATATCGCGCTCTACTATGTATCGAGCACTGTAAAACATATGACAAGTACATATTTCCCTTTCATTAATAACGATGTCGTCCCAGCGGCTTATACCCCTGACTCGATCTGCAGATCTTCAAGGCCCAATTTTAGGTACTTTTTGCCAATAATCGCCAAGAATTCCGATGCGATATGAAACGTACCCATTCGAATCACGGCGTCGGAAAACTCGTTTGCAAACCTCCATTGTAGTTGCTTGGCCTTCACATAGTTAGCACGATCAAATTTAATTAATGTATCTTCCTGACCCATGGTATCACTGAGGACTGGAGTGTGCTTGAGAACAGTATATATTGTACTGAACTCCGTTGAAGAGCCATCTATTACGGGGCAGTGGACACTCATGGTAATTTCTTGTAACTCTGGATAAAGCAATGTGTTGAATGCTCTCCATCTAGGAAGTGACTGACTCGCGATTACTTCCCGAGATGGTGATTCTGTTAGACCTAAGGGATACATTCTCATGAATTTCCATACTTCATCAGCGCAGTGTGCTGACTCAAACAGCTAATTTTGTTCTTTAAACCGCACTTTTTAACCTAACCAGTATAAAGATAGGTCCGCAATTCGTACTTGTCTGGGATTTCAGTCAATTAAACACTGATGCGGTATGGATTAGCTTTACAGTAAATGTAATATATTTTGTCATATTATAGTGATAAATGTCGGGTAAAGATTCCGTAGAATCCCAAGCTGCAGATGATAAAATGGTTACAAGAGAAACATGTTTAGACTTCTAGTTTCGAAGAAATTAGGGGGTGCTTGCAATTTGTCAGAATAAATCGATTGGGATGACTGGTGAATAAGGGTAACAGTTTTTTTCAAAAATCAGCAAACCAGCCGAACGAGATGGCGCTTACCATTTGCAATTGTTTTCGGCTAATGAGAGACTGGAAACTGGAAAATTTAGCAAGTGGTAAGGAAATTCCCGCTTAAGACACTGTACGTAAACTATGCTTTTACAAATATCAGCTTTTCTGTTTTAACGTGACCAGTAAATGAAGAAATTTTTGGTTAAAAGTTTGAAGGCATTAGTTTTTTAACTTGCCAATCTACAGAAACTGGTGCCTTCACGCAACATATCAAAAAATTGTAGTTAAAAGAGGGAACCTCAAATTGCAAATCGTAAATCCACGCACTAATACTGGAGTTTGTCATTATGTTACATCTGTCCCTAAAACTTTGTTTGTTAGTAGCAATAAATGGGAGTTTATTGGATTAGTGGATAGTGGATCCGGATTTAGTGGATTTTCATTGCATCGACGCAATTTTTTGACATACTTTCAATATGCAATTGCAGACATTTCTTTCTGAGAACTGGGATTTCGTACGACTGTTACTTATTCATCCAAAAATTTCTTGTAAAAACAAACAGAAAGGGAATATTAACGCACTTAAATAAATACCCAGCAGCGCGTGGCTCAATATTAGGTCTTAAGACCTCATTACTCTTTCTGAATCTCCAAAACTAAGAACTACGACAAATCTAGAATTATCTAGACATAAATTGACAGTTTTGCTCTGTGAAAGCTCACAATAATTGTAAGTTGAAGGGTTGTAAAACTAACTATTTTCAAACTTAACTCGTTTTGTGTGAGAGTAACAAAAACTCAAATTTATTAAGATGTGTTTATATGTACTTCACTCAACTTTTCTTCGTGTATTACTGAAGTGGTTAACAATTGCCTACATAGCCTTACTGCGAAACGCAACATTGGTAACAGCTGTTATCAAATAAAGTGAAAACTAACCTGATCATGGTATTTTTGTGGCAAAACAAAATGATGTTGGCCAAATGGTGCTCGCAATTAACGCAAAATTTACGGTAACAGTCAGCTTTGTCGAGAAAAACTGTTGGCTTCTGGTAAAGTTTTTTACGATGACGAGAGGTCATCTAGGTAAAGGTAACATTGGTGTTTACATTGGTAGAAATAAACGCCAAAAAAACTCAATCTTGTTTCCAGGGTTCTCTCTTACCTTGTGGAATTAGAGACCACGTGACGGACACTTTGCTATCGTACACAAATAGATAAATAAATATGTAAATACCGCAGGCCCTGAAAAAGTCTGGGGATCCCAAACAGAAAGTGACTTGAAGTCGTCTCCCACATGCAGTGACAATTTCCTGTCAATGTGGTTTGCCAGTTCGACA